CTAAATCCTTGCAACAATCTTCCTCCATAACTGGGCAGCCCAAATGCCTTGTCTAGGGCAGAACATGCTTCCAAAAGATTATCTTATACTTTCAGGGAAGAAGAAACCAACATATCTCGTTTCCTTGTTATTGCTGATGTTCTATTTGTTTTTCTTTTGCTTTGGGAGAAAAAGAATGTCAGCTGCCCCATAGAGCCTACCCAAGCAGTAGAAGCTCCTTGCAGATAGGCTGAAAATGAAAATAAACCAAATATACAAATATTTCCTAATTTTGCTTGCCAGCCCTCCCACCACGGAGATGGCCACAATCGTAGTCTATATATTGATAGCTCATGATGACACATACAGCTAATTCTAGACTTCTCAGGCTCTCCTCAGCTCACGAATGGGCTGAATTTTCAGATGCTCATGGATTCTGGTCCAGCAAATCTGGACAGGTGCCTGGGAGTCTGCATTCCTGGCAGCTCCAGGGCATGTTGGAGCCTCTGTGAGTAGGAGGCTCCAGGCATGGGCAATCCTTGAACAGCTGTGGTCTACCTGAGGGGCCTGATGCATTATGATTACTGTCCCCTGCTCCCAGGAAGACCAATCCAACTGAAGAATACCATATCAGCTACACGACACTTAGGGTAACCTGTTGACTTCGGTGATGGTGTAGAGTATGGAGAGGAATGCATGAGCACTGTTCAGAGAGAGGAGTGTTCCGCCCCCAGCTCTGGTTCCTGTGAGCACAGGAACGTCATTGACCTTGAGGGAGGGAGAGAAGGGGAGAAGAGGAGAAGAGAAGGAGAACGGGGCAAAGCACTAACAACTTCAACTCTGGGATCTAGTGAAGGGCACACAGGGGTTCATGTTGCTATTGAAACTTTGCTGTGTGACAGTTTTCAAAATAACAAGCGGAAACGAACAAAAATGGCCCCATAATCTAGTAGGGAACCCACATATGAAGACACGGCTGCAAGCACGGTTGCCAGACTTAGCAGATGAAAACACAGGTGGCCCAGTGCATTGGAATTTCAAAGGAGCACGGAGTCACCTTTAGTAGACGTGTGTCCCAAACACTGCAAATCATTCTTTCCAAACATTTAAGGTGGGAAGCGCCGCAGTGCAGAGCCCCGGAGCTCAAGGGGAGAAACTGGGAAGGGGCTGCACGCTGTTGGCTTAGGGAGAGTTCGGGGAGGGCTCTGCTGCGGGATTTGCATTTTCATCCTAAGGTGGGCTGGGAAAGAAAAGGCTTTGTTCCTGCTAAAAGAACTTGCTGTACAAAGAACTTAAAGTTGCAGACTGAGGAGGGTGGGTTTGCAGGAGGCAGGAGAGGGGTTCCCCACTCATGCCACTCCTTCTTGGCCTGGCCCAGCAGCTCTGCCCAGCATCCCTGGCTCCCCTTCAGAGCGATGCCATGGCTCAGTCTGACAGCCTTGCTTGGCATTTCCATTGTGGACCTTGGGCATCTCTGGCTCTGCTGACATGACTGGAGTGGCTCAGAGTGGGAGGGTGCACGCTGGTTAAGAGCACAGTCCTGGAGGCAGAGTGCTCTTAACTGGTTCTGGGGTGCAGCTCATGCTGTGATACATGGTATATGGGACATGAGCATGCGCTATGCTGGTGTCCATCTAAAGAAAGAGACTCCAGCCAAATTAATTTGGAGAGTTTTTGGGCCATGGTTGAGGGCTGCAGCCTGGGACACACTTCCAAATTGCCTTGGGGAGTGCACCAGAAAACAAAGGAGAGCCTCAAGTACATGCGTGTGTGTGTGTGTGTGTGTGTGTGTTTTAGAAGACAGAGATGGGGGGGTGGCAGCATTACAAAGTTGTTCCTGAGGAATTCTCATAGGTTTATAGAAGTAACATTGGTTAGTGATTGGCTGTACATGGTTGAGCTCTGGGGTATGAGTTACTGTGTCCTACGTAAGGCATTTTATGGCTCCTTGGAGTCAGTCTGGAGCACACACTGCAAGACTTCAAAAAGTAATTACTTAGCTCAAGGGGGGAGTGAGGCGTCACTGCAGTCACACACGGACATATTTCAGTGCCTCTCTGGGCCTGATAATTAAAGGGGGCTCGCATTCCACAGATTAGAAATTTCTTTCCCTTCTCATTGGTCACCGAGCCTGTTTCCTCTCCTGTAAAAAGGAGGCTTGTGGCGAGGACTAGGCGGGTGCATGCGCGTGCAGGCCTGAGCTGAGCCTGGCCCTTCCTGTGTGCAGGCAGTGTGAGTGATCACAGTGCTCGGCCTTCTCTTGCTCTCTGGCCTTCTAAGGAAGGTTTGCCTGCTTAGGTCCAGGCCCTGTAAGGGGCTACTGCAACCTGACTGGAGAATGGTGAGATAGAAGCAGTGAAGGTGATTGCGTTAGGAATGACCAGGGGCGTGGCTGGAAGGGAGGAAGGTGAGCTGGGAGTGGAGCCAGAGAGAAAGGGGCAGGAGGGGTTCGGAGCAGCAGCTGTGGGACTCGGTGTGGGAGCGTGTGGAAGGCTGGCGTCATGTCTCTGCAGGGGCAGCAGCTCTTGCAGCTGATGGGGGGCTCTGGAGAACACCCGCGTGCTTTTCCCAGGTGTTTGCAGATGACGGTGCGGTCCTGCCACGGGAGTCGGCGGCGGTTGGGCCGCGCACCCCCCTCTCCCACGCGGAACCCCTTTGGCAGCCAGGCACACTTGGCTTCCAGATTTTAATTCCTCTTTTATTGTTCCCATAACTGCAGAGCATGGATGGAAAGGATGTAGGACAGAACGTTCTCAGAGAAACCATGGGAGGACAAAACGTCCCAGCAGCCGCCTGCTGCTGTGTTTTCTTCCTTTCTACCCGAGTACATATTGGACTTTAATCCTGGGTCCCGGAAGCCCGCGCCTGCTGAGGGGAGGCAGCCCCAGGGCTAGCTAACGCCTCACTGGGGAGGCTTCTCTTTGCCATTCGTACCCAGTGCACTGTTTCTGCATTTCAAGAAAGGAAAGTGGGCAGGAGAGAATCGCAGGGGAGCTGCCACATCCTTGGACGTGATGGAAAGCAGAACTGGAAGGGATGAGTGAGGGACTGTTCCAGCCATGGCCTTCAACATCCCCTCCCACCACTGTAGGCAACAGGGAGCCCGCCCCCTGCCCTTACATCCAGGCTGGCCAGGGCCTTGCCTTGACCAATCAGCTCTGGGATTCGGGTAAGGTGAGCGAGGCACTGGCCTTGGGAGTCAAGTTTAATGGAGGCATGGGGGAGCGCAAGAAACTCAGTCATCAAGGTCAATAGTATTTCAGTGCAATCATTTAAAAATCAAAATGAATGCACATACAGTCCACGATGGTTAAATAGAGACAAACTCAGTGGTGCAGCCATGAAGGGAAAGGAAATGAGGCCGTGGGGGAAGTGAGGTAGTGGGGCCGTGAAGGAAAAGGAAACTGGCTGAAGCAAAAGGAAAAATGAGCAAAACCAGCCATCTCTCTGCCCCACAATCTCATCTACTCAGGAAAATCATCAGCTAAACACACACGAAGGGACAAGCGACAAAATCCTGCCCAGTTCTCTTCCAGAGTCAAAGCACAGCAGCTGAGGACAGGCTCAGGAGCAGTTCAGGACAAGGAGGCCTAGGAGAGGGTGACTGCAGGCCCTCTGGTCCCAGAGCAGCACGGGACACCGGTGTGACAACCTGAGGTTCGGGTAAGGTCTGGAGTTTGGCTCATAGTACTTACCGAAGTTAGTTTCTTGGTTTTGATCACTGCCCCATGGTATGGAAGATGCCGACGGTAGGAGAAGTTGACTGACGGTCATGCAGGAAATCTCTCTACTATTTTTGCAACTTTCTATAAGTCTAAAGCTGTTTCAAAACAAAAAAGTAAACACAGACACAGTAGTCCCCCCTTATCCTTGGGTGATAAATTCTAAGACCCCAAAGGGGATGCCTGAAACTACAGAGTACTGAACCCTGTCTGCACTACGTTTTTTTCCTATACATACACACCTACGGAGACGTTTAATTTATAAATCAGGTACAGTAAAAGATTAACAACAATAATAATAAGACAGAACAATTATAACAATAAGATAGTATCACTACTTCGCACTTTGAGGCCATTATTTAGTCAAGTTACTCGGGCCAGGCTCAGTGGCTCATGCCTGTAATGCCAGCACTTTGGGAGGCCAAGGCGGGCAGATCACCTGAGGTCAGGAGTTCGAGACTAGCCTGGCCAACATGGTGAAACCTGGTCTCTACTAAAAATGCAAAAGTTAGCCAGGCGTGGTGGTGGGTGCCTGTAACCCCAGCTACTCGGGAGGCTGAGGCAGGAGAATCGCTTGAACCTGGGAGGCGGAGGTTGCTGTGACCTGAGATCGTGTTATTGTGCTCCAGCCTGGGCAGCAAGAGCAAAACTCTGTCTCAAAAGAAAAAAAAAATAGAGTTACTCAACACAAGAGCTGTGATGACACAACAGTCACTCTGATAACCCAGATGGCACAACTAGGTGACTCACGGGCAGGGTTGTCTCCAGCTGTAGATACCGGACAAAAGGAGGTAGAATACAGAGATACAGAGGGACTGTCTGAGAATTCACCAGGCCACTCACAATGGCGTGCAATTTAAAACTTACGGATTGTTTATCTCTGGAATTTTCCAGATTTATTATTTCTAGACCACAGTTGAATGTGAATAACTGAACCCAGAAAATGAAACTCTGGATAAGGGAGCACTGCTAGAAGTCACCTCACCTGACAGGTTTACACCTGTAATCCCAGCACTTTGGGATGCCGAGTCGGGTGGATCACTTGAGCTCAGGAGTTCAAGACCAGCCTGACCAATGTGGGGAAATCCTGTTTCTACCAAAAAATATACACACATAAAGGAAATTAGCCGGGCATGGTGGTGCAAGCATGTAGTCTCAGCTACTCGGGAGGCTGAGGAAGGAGAATCGCTTGAACCCGGGAGGCCCAAGAGTTGCAGTGAGTTGAGATCATGTCACTGCCTGGATGACAGCCCAGGTCATCCTGGGTGACAGAGGGAGACTTGGTCCCAAACACACGGACAAACAAACAAACAAAATCACCTGACCTGGCCAAAAAAGAAGGAGGAGGAGGAAAGGGACCTCTCGCACCCGTGGAAATCATGAGTTTGACCTTGGGCGTGGGTGGTGTAAGGACATGTTTGACATCCAGAGGAGGGTTTGAGGGATCCTTGGGTACATGAGTCTGAGGTTCAAGGGGAGGGTCTGCCTAGAGTTATGCTCTGGGCCATTGCTGGCCTGGAGTCCCCTTCAAGCCGGGAGCCCGGCTGAGGGTGCCAGAGAGCAAGTACAGACAGGGAGGTCAGCGGGTGAAACTTCAACAGCAGTGTTCAGACGGCAGGATCTTAGCTCTTGTTTTTGAGTGAAGAAGCGAAATGAGGCATGATTAGAGTAGCTCAGTGCCGACTCAGTCTACGGAAGGCGGCAGTGGGAGCCGACACGATGTGTGAATATGCAGGACTGCTCTGTGGTGAAATAGCACGCCGGCAAAAAAGATCTCCCGGTCTTCCAGTCGGCGTTACAGGTATGCTGTTTTCACGCTAAAGATAAAACTGTTTAATTTTAAGTGATCGTGCGTTCCTAGCAGCACGGACTCTGGCCTACCAGTATTTTGAGGGGTCTGAGTGAAATTTTCAGGCTGGTGCTTAGCCCAGTCCTTGCTGCATCTTGCTTTGTGACAAGCCTCAGGCAGGAACTCATCACAGGGGAGGGACGGCTTTGAGGCGCACTTGCTGTGGATGAGGTGGAACGTTCAAGAAGCCCTGATATTTCTGAGCAGGGACCCCCACCTCCATCTGTTCTGACTGGGAGCAACTTCCCAAGAGCGGCCGCACGGGGCAGGCGCTGCCACAGCACGTGGGGAGTGGGCAGTGCGGATGCTGCTTTGGTCCTGAGGAGAAGAAGTGGGGCCAGGAAATGGCTGTGTGCACGCTGGCACCACAGGCAGGAAGCCCCTGTGGGGAGGGGTGGGGTGTGTGACCCCAGCAGCCTGTCCCTTCTCTTGAAAATGGTGGTGCCCTGAGCAGTGGCGGCCTGCCTTTATAGGCACCAGAATGCCAATGAGTGGCCCAGTCTGGAGTCCCTGAAGACAGTGGTGGGGGCACCTTGTAAATGAGCAAGCAGAAGATGGGGGGCTGGGGCCTCCCCTCAGACAGCAAGGCAAGGCATGGGATGACGTGGAAGGCCTTGCAGTTGGGATGTGCGGGACTGGGATGGTCTCACTGAGGACTGGAATGTGTGTGTTGTGAATGCATGCATGTGTGTGTGTTGTGAATGCATGAATGTGTGTGTGTGTCATCATGTATGTATGCATGTGGGTGTGCATGAGCGTGTGTGAGCAATGGCCTGAAACACCTGGCCTGCACTGGGTCCTGTAACAGGACTGACTGAGTAGGCCCTGGTCCCTGCCCCTGCACTGGGAAGGCCCCATCCTTTTATTACCCCAGCTAGTCTCCAATTCTTAGGCTCACCGCATCCCTCCAGCATGGCCAGTGGAGCTGAGGTTATCTGCTCAAAAGGGCACGGTGACACCACAAGGCCTACACAGGTCAGAGCTGGGGGCCCCACTGACCAGGAGTGCTGAGACTCCGGCAGACAGAGGTTGGAAGCAAAGGAGGCAGAAAGCCTCTCCGACAAGTGAGGCCATCTGGCTTCAGCAGCAGAGGCAGCCCCTCTTCTCCACCAGTCCATCTGGTCACACTGTGCGTGAGGCCTGGACTTGCAGCATCTGTTTTTCAACAAAACATGAAACCAGTCTGAACTTCCCCGACAGCGACAAGGCTTCACAAGCCTTGCTCCAGCAATGTGTGTCTGTCTCCGTGTGCATCCTTATGTGCACGTACACACCTCCTTTCCTTACGTGCTTTCGACATTCCCCTCATAAATAAACCCACTTCAAATGACACTTTCTTCAGTTAAAGATGACTTTTTGTAACCCTAACCCTCAGGAGCCCCCAGGTGTGGGTCTGTTGTCCTAAGTGTATGTGCACGAAGGCATGTGCGTGTGCACACACACCCTAAACACACCACCCATGCACACACACACACCACTCACAGGCACACACGTACATACACAGCCACTCACACACCATGCACACAAACACTGAGCATGCACTCACTCACAGGCACACAAGCACACTCACACCCACTCACACACCATGCACACACACCACACGTGCACACTCACACGCACTAGCACACATGAACACAGTCACACACCACACACGCATGTGTGTGCACATACTTGCACATACCACATACGCACTCACCATACATGTGCACATGAAAACACTCAGACCTCCTTTCTGTCTTTCATTTGGACACGAATCTGAAAATAGTTCACGATAATGGTGAAGAAACTCGTCCAGCCTCAGCAGGACTCTGGTTTCTCTTCCACACAACCAGCTTAGGCTTCTAGAGGTGGACCCTGAACTGAGAATCATACCGGGTTGCCTGGTGACTCGAGCTGACCACCTTCAGTGTCGCTTCTGCCTTCAGAAAAGCAGGTCACCTGCAAACGTGCAGCACAGGCGCTGTGCCATTTCTTGTGCCAGTCCAGAGTCTTAGCTCTGTGGGCAGTTCCTCTCCTCGGAGTTTCCAGGAAGTCCCAGCCTGGGTCAGCCTCGTGGACGTTAACAGCCGTTCTTGTGGAATCTGTCCACCGCCCCCTTGTTTTTGAAAGTCCTGGCTGCGAGGCCGGCACGTGTGAGTCATCCTGCAGCCTTTGAACTTTGGCTCATTTATTTATTAGTCGGCTTCCATTTCCTTTAACTTGCCATTCTGTAAGCAAATTTTATCTGTTTATTAATGTTTCAGTCCAAAGGTACTGCAATAGTGCCTTGAGGTATTGTTTCCAGTTAATTAAAATGCTGTAGTGAGAACGACGAAGAATCTCAAGCTCTGATGAGCACTGTTCCAATGCCCGCTGCTGCCTAGGGGAGGTTTACCCCAGTGCTGTAGGCCTTCAACTTCATCTGCCTAACGCCCAATCATCTTATGACATAGAAGCCATACACGTTTCCTTTGCTGAGAGAGGAAGTATTCCTGGAAGCATATCAGGGGTTATTAAGAGAATGAGAGGAATGACAAGGAAATAAAGCTGTGTGTGCGCGCATGTGTGTGCGTGTGTGTGTGCGTGTGCGTGTGCGCGTGTGTGTGCATGTGTGTGCGTGTGTATGTGTGCGTGTGTGTGCATGTGCGTGTGCGTGTGTATGTGTGTCAGGGGTGTTTCCCTAAATCCACTTAAAACAGTCTCTCTGTGACTTTGCTCTCTCAGCTCACAGGGCTAAGGAAAGGCTGTGATTTGTGCACCCTGCCACCTAGGAGCTGCAGAGATTCTCTCCCCCTGCCCGGTGGCTGGCCCAGGACCGAGCATCGGTTGCAGCACCCGATGACCTTCTTTGCTTTACACTCAATGTTGCCACAGAGCGTCCTGGAACCATCAGATAAGGGAGCTGTTCTCCGCTGAGCGGAGGAAGCTGGAGCAGAGGACGGAGTTGTGTGGTGTCGGATGACTGCCCCCCAGTGTCCTGGTATGAGAGAGGAGTGCAAAGGGGTGTGCAGGATGCAGCCGCTGCAGCGGGAGGGGAGCCCTGGGGCGGAGGGAATTGTGTGAACAGAGGATACAGGAGGGTGGTGTTTTCAGAAGCAAAATGCCCCGGCCGCAGTTCTGGAGCTCTGCCAGGTGTCAGCTGTTTGCAGCGCCCTCCGTGGTACAAACACTGTCGCGTGGCATGTGTTCTCTGGGAGCCTGGGTACCCCAATGGTTGTCGCGGGGTCCACACTGCATCTTGGTACCGTGTTCTACCTCACAGGATCTGCGTCTGGAAGGACAAATGTCTGACCTCCGCTGGCTCCCGGGGCCGCCCGCTGGCCCACAGCGCACCTGTGTCTAAACCACTCAAAGGCCCCTTCCCAGGAGACTTCCCCGCGGCTGGACACAGCCGGGCATCAGGGGCCTGGTGAGTCGAGCCCTGTGGCTGTGCAAAAATGGAGCTGCTTCCACGGAAGCCCTGCAGTACCCCCCGCACGGACAATGGTGTGAGCGAGATGGGCAAGGGGGCCGGCCTGCACTCTCGCTGGCGGGCAGCTGAGCGTGGTGGTCTGAAGGGCGTCCGCCTGAGCCTGGGGCTGGGGGTGACGGGGCAGGAGGAGGAGGGCCGGGGATTGTGGCTGGTGGTCCCTGCAGTCTCGCAGGTGCCTTCAGTGGAAAGGAATGTTGGCCCACGTGGCTGAGGCATGGGGAATTGGGGAGTGGTGGCTGGTATGTTGGAGAAGCAGGTGCTGCCCAGCTGTGATGGCTTCAAGAAGTCCAGGGTTCATTTGCTCCTGTGGGACCTGAGGCATCCAAAGCTGCCCTGAACTGCCCATCTCCTGCATTGCTCTAAAACCCATTCCTGGCCCCCAAGAGGGGAGGGCAGAAGGCAGCCCTGCTCTGAAACAGGGTGGGGGTAATGGCGGAAACAGCATCATGAGACCATCCTGAGGAATTAGTTTCCGAGTAAAAAGAAAAAGAGAATGTGTATTCTCTCTCTCTCCCCCACACCTGTCTTTGCTCAGGACAGAAAACAGGTAGAACCTGTCATTTTGGAGCCTGTACCTCACCCGCCACACACACCCCGCATAAACAAATACATTAGCATTACGGTTTACGCCTTGTCTCTTGTGATGGGCAGGGGAACCTGGGTGCATCTGCTGTTGGCCATATGGGAAAGACTCCATCCTCCAGGCCTGGGGGCCAGACCTGCCGGACTGTGGCCACGCCTCCCCCAGGGCCAGCTGGAAGGGGCTTTGGGGCAGCTATGGTTCTACAGGCTAGAGAGCTCTTGTCCGTATTTGATGGCCAAACCTTTTAGCTTTTCCTTGTGCATTTGTGATGTTGGGGTGGCTTTAGGGGTAGATTATACAGTGGCAGGAGGAAGTTATTTTTTACAGTCAGCAGAGGCTGAAAACTGTTTTGTTTTGCAAAACAACCCCAGGTGCTATTTTGGTTGAGGAAAGATGGTTTCAAAAGTAAAACTGTGAGGCGAAGAGCTAACTTCTTCCACTTGTGGAACATCCCGTGTTAGGCATGAGAAAGGCAAGAGGGGCCTGCGAGCTGAAGAGGCGGCGTGGAGTGCAGATGACCAGCATGTTTCTGTGGCCAGGCAGCGGCGGAGGGCTTTTAGGAACAGGTGCCTGCTGGCCAACTCTTAGTGTGACTGGGACGTGCAAGGTGCTGTCCTGTGGCCTCTAAATGTTCTGCAAAAGTCTGGAACATGTGACTGTCCTTGTGGGAGGATGCTGAGAGGAGTTTTGTTTAGTGGGTGGCATGCCATATTTGGGTTGCCAATTTGAAGAGAGAAGAAGACAGCCCCGGGAGATGGGAGGCTCGAGGGATTGCTCTTCACGGGGACACATTCATGCCGTAGACCAGGGATCAGCAAATCTTTTTTATAAAGGGCCAGATAAAAAATAGTTGTCTTTGCCAACCAGCTGACCAGATAGTCCCTGTTGCATATTCCCTAAAAAAATTTAAAAAGCTGTAACAACCATTCTTAGCTGATTGGCCACACACACTCAGGCCGAGGGCTGGATTTCGCCAGTGGCTGTTGTTTGCCGCCTCCTGATTTGGGCCTTTATCCTGGTTGTGGTTCACATGGGCCAGCCTGGGAGCCCTTCCATCCGCTTCTGTCTGCTCCGCCATGCTGAGGCCGGGGAGGATGCACATTTGTGTTTCCTTACCAGCTTCTTGTGGGCATCTCGAGGCCAGGGCCTCTGGGGTGTGCATGTAACTCCAGGGATGACCTTTCGCACCTCCTGGAGTGTCCAGCGCCCCTGTGACAGCTGCACCCAGATGCCCTGCTAAGTTGCCTGAGTGTCTCCTCCATGGACAGGCAATGGTCTCTTCTACTTTTATAGTCAAAACTTACAAAGTGACTGTTAGTTTCAGAGATGGAACTAAGTGAGTGCTGCTAAAAAAGAAAGTCATTTTCCTTTTATCTTTGCACGTAAGTCTATTCAAATTGCAAGTAAATGCATGCTTGTGGGTGAACAAGAGTGAATTTGGGGTCCATTATGACAGTCTGTGAAGGGATCATAAAAAGAATAATTAGAATGTCAGCCCATAGGGGGCCCCCTGTTTTCCAGCCTTTTAAGACTCAGTAATACAATAATTGTATTGTGGTACTGGGCATGGTGGCTCATGCCTGTAAGTCCAGCATTTTGGGAGGCCAAGGCGGGCAGACCACTTGAGGTCAAGAGTTTGAGACCAGACTGGCCAATATGGTGAAACCCCGTTTCTACTAAAAATGCAAAAATTAGCCGGGTGTGGTGGTGCATGCCTGTAGTCCCAGCTACTCGGGAGGCTGAGGCAGGAGAATGACTTGAACCCAGGAGATGGAGGTTGCAGTGAGCCAAGATCGCACCACTGCACTCCAGCTTGGGCGACAGAGTGAAATCCCATCTCAATTAAAAAACAAAATTGTGCTGTGTATCCACTCCAGGCTGGCCCTGGGGTGGGTGTTGGGGAACCCACCATATAGAGATACTAGAGCTCCTATGCTCCAGACAGTGAAAATCATCTTGAGAAAAGGACGCTAATGACCCCAGGCTGCAAGTGACCACAGCCCCAGGTGAGCAGGCATGAGAGTGAACAACCTGAACACCGCTCCATGAAGAGGGATCCCCTTCGGGGTTGCATTAATTATGAAGCTCCAGGAAAGTATAGACCTGAAGAAGCCACAGACTGCAGCACATTCTCAAGCCTGGAACTTCTCCAGGAAGAATCTGCCACGGTTTGTCCAGCAACATGTACCACTGACACTGAAGCTGTGTCGGGCTGTGCTTCCCTTCAGCAGAAGGACAGCTTCCTCTTTCCCTCCCAGCCTGCGGGCATCTTTTAAGTACCTCCAGTGATGTGATTGAGGACTGGGCTGCAGTCATCGGTATCGAGGACTCCTCGGTGTTTGCCGGAGCTGCCCTGCGCAGCCTCCTCTGCTTGTTGGCTCTCATGATTCTCTAAGGGGAGGAGGTTGCTGTCCTGGCGTGAGCCACCGCTGGCTGTAATGCAGGCTGAGTCTCACCAGCTTGGTGAAAGCAACCACAGGGAGTTGGTACTTCAGTCATCTTGGCTACAGGGCAAATAGAGAAGGAAAGGAAAGAAAATGTGTGAACCTGGGTTGGTTACTTAACTCTTTGGATTGCGTGTCTCATCTGCAACATGGGTAAATAAAACCTAGTCCAGAGGGTATGTAATGTGTGAAAGTGCTGAGCATGAGGCCTGGGTGGTGACCACCACCAGGCTACGCAGTCCTGCGTGCATACAAAAGCTGCAGTTGGTCAAGAGCCTGGTTCCTGTGGTGTGGATGGAGCAAATACTACTGCTGAAACCAGGCTGAGCCGCGGGGAGCCTGTGGGGCCTGCAGGTGTAGGGTGGGAGGCTGCGGGCTGGCAGAATCCTTCAAGTACTCACGAAAGTTAGGAGGAGCTGGGAGAACCCAGCAGTGAACTCGGATCTAAAGGACACCTGGAAAGCGAAGTATTAGGTTGGTGTAAAAGTAATCGCGGTTTGCCATTACTTAAAAAAAAAAGGCAAAAACTGCAATTACTTTTGTACCAACCTAACAGTACTTTGTGAGAATCTGTCAAATATTGGCTTTATCCTCATCTCGTACATCATCAGTACCCCCAGGACGATATGGCAAAGAGACATCACAGAGGCAAAGAAGAGTAAGGACGTGTGCACTATCTCCACAGCCCTGGCAGTGCTGGGTGACATTCCCATGTGGAGACGCAGCCCACGGGTGTGTCTGCTGAGGGCGCGTGTGTGCTTCCGCACATTCACCCAATACACAAACGTCCACATAGTCTTAGCCCACTTGTGTTGCTACAAAGGCATACCTGAGGCTGGGCAATTGATAAAGAAAAGAGGTTTGCGTGGCTTGTGGTTCTGCAAGCTGTACAAGAAGTATGGTGCCGGCATCTGCTTCGGAGGAGGACCTCAGGCTGCTTACGCATGGTGGAAGCGGAAGGGGAGCTGGTATGTGCAGAGATCATGCAGCTAGGGAGGAAGCCAAAGACAGGGGGTGCTGTGCCAGGCTTTTTTTCTTAAAACACCCTGCTTTCTTTGGAACTAATAGAGCAAGAACTCACTCACCTCCAATGGAGAGCATTAATCCACTCATGCAGAATCAGACCCCCTGACCCAAACACCGCCCGCTGGGCTCCACCTCCAGCACTGGGGATCAAGTTTCAACATGAGCTTTATTTATCTTATTTATTTATTTATTTATTTATTTAAGACAGAGTCTCAGTTGCCAGGCTGGAGTGCAGTGGCGTGATCTCGGCTGACTGCAACCTCTGTCTCCTGGGTTCAAGCGATTCTCCCACCTCAGCCTCCCAAGTAGCTGGGACTATAGGCACCTGCTACTATGCCTGGTTAATGTTTTTTGTATTCTTAGTGGAGATGGGGTTTTACCATGTGGCTAGTCTTGAACTCCTGACCTCAAGTTATCTGCCCGCTTTGGCCTCCCAAAGTGCTGGGATTACAGGCGAGAGTTACCCCACCTGGCCTAATGTGAGCTTTAGAGGACACAGATATCCAAACTGCAGCACATACATGAGGCTTTCCACTGAGGTCTGTGACTAGATGGTGCTTGGGGTGTTTAGCTGCCTGAGGTTCCTCTTTATTTTGAGGTTCCAAACAAAATAACTTGAACGTGTGTTTTAAAAATGACCTAAGCTAGCTTAGTCTTTCCAAGTTATTTGTGTTGTTTTTTTCATCATTAGTATCAATAGCTGGATCTTGGCAAGGCTTCCAGTTCCTCCTGACATCCTCACAACTGGTTATGAAGTAAGTCTCAGACAGGATTCTGTCCCATAAGCACACCATCTACAGAGCATGGAAAATTCATCCAAGACAAACAGGACTGGAATGATTTAATGGGGTCAGACAACCCTGAACACTCCAGACCAGGGCCTG